GAACAGCTCAGTGCTGTGGTGCATCTAATAGAAAAGGTAAGAAAAACTTGCAAATGGAAACACTTGGTTTAATAAAACTTGACAAATTAGAAAACCAACACAAAAGTTGCATTCTATTATATCACATACATAGAATTGTGATAACACTAAACTTCTAAATATAAGAGTAGAATTCATCATACCTGACAATGAACTTTTGTTTGGATATGAGGGATGCCTGTTTGACACCCTCAGTATTCAATTTGCATAATCTTGTGCAGCAGAAAAAATAGTTCAAAGTCTAAAAAGGCAGAACAGATGTTGGAAGCTGCAGGCTCTTTCTGATTCTCCAGAAGCTGTTCACTTGTCTTTGGCATTTGATCCTCTATTGTTTTTGCAATCATAAACAGAGGACTTGCACCAATTTGTAGTCCCACCAGCAATGTATGAGTATGCCCTTTTCCCCACATCCTTGCCAACACTTATTTTTGTTTGTATTCTTGGTAACTGACATTCTGACTGGAGTGAGATGAAATCTTAGAGTAGTTTTGATTTGCATTTCTCTAATTGCTAGAGATGTTGAACATTTTTTCATATGTTTGTTGATTAATTGTATATCCTCTTCTAAGAAGTGTCTATTCAGTTCCTTAATCCATTTATTGATTGGGTTATTTGTTTTTTGGTGTTAAAGTTTTTGAGTGCTTTATATATCCTAGAGATTAGTGCTCTATCTGATGTGCTTGTGGTAAAGATTTGCTCCCATTGGAACCACCATTTGACCCAGCTATCCAACTCCTCGGTTTATACTCAAAGGACTTAAAAACAGCATTCTACAGGGACACAGTCATCTCAAGGTTTATAGCAGCACAATTCACAATAGTTAAATTGTGGAACCAACCCAGATGCCCTTCAGTAGATAAATGGATAGGGAAGCTTTGGTATATATTCATGATGGAATATTACTCAGCATTAAAAGAAAATAAAATCATGGCATTTGCAGGTAAATGGATGGAGCTGGAGAATATAATGCTAGGTGAAGCAAGCCAATCCCAAAAAGCCAAACTGAATGTTTTCTTTGATATGAAGAGGCTGACTCATAATGGTGATGGAGTGGAATATGAGAGGAATGGAGGAAATTTAGAAAGGGCAAAGGGAAGGGATGGGGAGGGAGGGAATAGGGGGGGTAGGAATGATGGTGGAATGAGTTAGACATCATTACCCTAAGTACATGTATGAAGACACAAATGGTGTGAAAAATACTTTATGTATAATCAGTGACTTGAAAAAGTGTGCTCTGTGAATTGCATTCTGCCATCATGTGTAACAAATCAGAATAAATAAATAATTTAGTTTTAAAAAAAAGAGGACTTGGAGTAGGTACTCATCCACATAGTGCTTTTAGTTTAAATGCCACGAAACAGGAACAATTATCCACTGCTTGTTCTCTGTTCCTCTTGGGCACTGGAAACTTTCCCAGAAAAGGAAAAGCTATGGGATGGCCAGATAACTTTATGCATTCAATTTGGCCTGGACGTGGACCAACTAGGTTTTTTTTTAAACCCATTTATTTATTTACACTTCTGCAAATGATGGAGTTAAATGGAGATATGAGCCCAAGGACATACATGAAAATAGATAAATAAAAAGAGTTAGTACTAGAGGAAAACATGAGAATGTGTGTGTGGGATTCTTACCAAGATATTTTATAATAACACATTTACATATAAGTATAAAAAGTTTTGATCACATGTGTATGAATTTATTAATACTATATTTCTAATATAGTGACCTTTAAATATTTAAAATGTTTATAGCAGGGACTTGGAATATCATGTCTATTCTATTTCCCATGATATTTCTTAAAATATAAAGCTCAAAATATAAAAAAGAAAATTGTTATGTATATAGGTAAGAAGAAGAGGCCATGCCAAGTAGCTTGTAAAGCAGAGAAGTGGTTGTTATTTCACACAGAGAACATTCTAGAAAATAGTGATCTCACTCCAGAAAATAATGTTACTTAAATTTTTTTAAATATTGTTTTTAGTTATACATGGACACAATATCTTTATTTTGTTTTATTTATTATTTTTATGTGGTGCTGAGGATTGAATCCAGTGCCTCACATGTGTGAAGCATGTGCTCTGCCACTGAGCCATGACCCCAGCCCATGTTACTTAAATTTTCTAATGATGAAATGGCATGGGACATCAGCAAGTTGATTTTGGCCAAGACAAGGGAAAGCATATATGAGAACAATGTAGGATAGAGCAGAGAACTTCAGATCAAATGTTTTGTAGAAGATATAAGAAAATTCTGCTGCCCCTTTTCTTCAGTAAGTTATATAAGATGGTTATATACCATTGGTCAAGAATCAACACTGAGGGTTGGGGTGTGGCTCAGAGGTAGAGCACTTGCCCAGCATGCATGAAGCACTAGGTTTGATATCAGCACCACATAAAATGAAATGAAATGAAATGAAATAGATTGTGTTCACCTATAATTAAAAAATAAATATTTTTTAAAAAAGAATCAACACTGATTTAAGTGGTTATCAAATAATATATCTTGATTGTTTTGTTATGATTATTTGTGTGCTTTACCAAAAGGAACTTTCTGTTTCCTTTTAATATGGGAAAAATTGGGGTACCTCTGAAATTCTTGGGTTATAACCTTTAAAGCTTGTTCTAGGTGAATACCTAATGGGTGTTGTGTTCAAACAGAACAAATGGGTTTGGGAACATTTGTTCAAATACCATGTATGGCAGCAATGCTTATTTTAGCATTACTTACGGTAATAACAAAAATTGAAACAAAAAATTGCTATCGAGGGGGGCCTAGTTCAATAAATTCTCGTGTATTGATGAAATACAGCCATGAATGAACCACACAAAAACATTTTAGTCAATAATGGGCCACATTATGGTGTTCCCATAAGATTATAAATTCCTATTAGTATTTTTACTGTAGCTTTTCTGTGTTTACATTTGCAAATACTACCATGTGTCACCTGTAGTATTAAGTACAGTAATATGCTGTACAGATTTGTAGCCTGGGAGCAGTAGACTAAACCATGTATCCTGCATGTAGGTACTTACCAGGTAGTAAGTACTCTGTGATATTCACAAGGACAGAACTATCCACAATGCATTTCCCAGAACATATCTCCCTTGTTAAGTTATGCATGACTGTATGCCACAAATAAATATTTCATTTTTTAGACATAGTTATATAATTAGACTACAAGAATAATAAAACAAAGCACTGAAGATATACATAATCACATATGGATAAGGTTATAAAACTTAACCAATAAAATTAAAGGATGCCCAGTTAAGTTTGAAATTCAGATAAACAACAACTAAATTTTAAGCATATATACATCATAAAATACTTACTTGCCATACTTATTTAGCAACCAGTTATTATGTGCTCATCTGAAATTCAAGGAATCCTATACTTCATCTAGTAATCTTTCATATATATCATGTTAAACTAATAGACACTTCAACCTCAGCTTCAGAAGTTACAGCCTAAATCTGCCAGGGCTGAATAGAACTTGGTTACATAAAATCTTGTATTGCAGGTAAAACTGTTTCTAAGTTCTAAGTTTGAAACAGAACCCGCCCTACATAATGTTTGTTTTATTTTCCATAATGTATTTTTTACTAAAATCTCAATATCTTAGATAAGATCACACACTCTAGAAGTGTTATTTATTCATGTTTGCATGATACAAATATTGTCCTAAAAAAAGCAATAGCTTTAAATGATTCATATGAAGACTTCTAGATAAAATCCAACGGTGGGGTTGGGCATATTTTTGCAATAACATGATATTCTGGCCTCTGATTTTCCCACGCATGGTACAGTAAAAATAATTTTAAAAGCTGTCAGTTGCCTTAATAACACTATCAGTCTTTTAAAACCCTTCTGGATTTGATATTACAATTTTAATTTTACCAGATTTAGATTTCCTGGCAATTGGAGGTTAATAAAACATGAGTCAGGAGGTCTAATTTTGTGTTCTGGAAAACTTGAAAGAGCAAATGAATAATTTGTTTTGTGGAAGTTTGGTAGACCATCTCCCATTTCCAATGGTTGCTTCTTTTATTTTTAACCCTGACAGGTTTTTAATTTTTTCCCATGGTTGTTTTAAGTCTTCTGCTTGTTTTTAAATCAATTTCTATAATTTGGGTGTTTCTTTTGTATCTGTTTATGTAAAATGTCCTTAAAAAGCCAGACTGTTTATTTTTTATCACACACACTTTATGCATTTGATGCCAAGATTATTTTGTACCTATAATTTATAATAGTACTCACTGGCTTAGATTTCAATCTGTATTTTACTGACTGATTTTGTATTTTATAATTGCAATAATTTTAACTAAGTTGTCTGTGACCTGAGTCAATCTGTGTTGTTTTTCGACAAGCCTGTGGGGGATTTGGGGAGTCAGTGCAGGTATCTGTCAGGAACACCTCCTGGGTTTGGCCAGTCACCAACCCTGTGTTCTGGCTGAATTAAGTTATTTTCTTTCTGAATCAGTTTCTTTCCCTGGAAATGAAACAAAGATCATACTGGGACTTTCCTCAGAGGATTCTTGTGAAGATTAAAGAAGTTAACATAAAGTTATAAGAACTCTGAAGTGCCCACAATAACCAAGCATTATATAAATGGCCTTTTTGTTTTATTTTGTGCATTCTACTAAAAGGAATTGTTTCCCTTGAACATGGATAACAGTTTGAAAAACTCTAGAAATTTTGGATCATAACTTTTAGTTCTTAAAATTATGTACCTGTGTCTCTGTTGGCTTCTGGCATTTCATTTTCAGAAATGCCTCATGTCAGATTGAATTTTTGTTTCTCTGTTACTATGTTTTATTTTTCTGATTTCTAGTATGACTTTTTTAATATTTAAAAAAAATCACTCAGATATTATATGTCTGGTGTTTTTTGTTTTCTTAATTTCCTCTGATTGAAAGTAATCTCTGAACTTTTAGACAGGAGTGTCTCTTTAGCTTATTAAAGAACTGTGGTAATTTTTTTTTCTTTTATCTGTTCTTTCGTATGCTTGTCGGAGGGATTTTTCCTACTTGTCTGTTACTTTTTCTTTGAGTTCTAGGAGAGTTTCTTGAGCTTATTTTCCATTTGTTATGACCAGTTTGCTTGTTTCAGTGTCCAATCAGCTGTCCTTTCATCTTCCTTTGTAATTTCCTCATTGTTAAATTGTTATTCTGTTCCTTTTGTTGTATTTCCCCTGTGGATTATTCTGCATTCTGCCTTCCTATCTTTGAGGTGGCTACTATAAATTCAGATCTTGAGTTCTTCTTTGAGCTTGGAATGTTACTAAGTCACACACACACACAAAAAAAAAATATGGAGAACTCCCTCATGAGCTCCTTTAGCAGGAGAAACGGATTAGTCATTTCAAGGCTAATATAAGTTTATGTGCAAGTTGATAATGTATGTTGGCAGGAAGAGCATAATGTAGGATATAGAGAAAGTGATGACTTGGAGTTTAAAAAATTAACAGGAACTTATTAGATATATTAAAATAGAACAAAATAAGTCAGTGGCTTCATACCATTGCTTAGGTATTAGTTGAGATGTGGGCTCCCTCATTCTGGCAAGAAAAAACCATGAAAGTGATTTTCCCCCCTATTTTTCTAATTCCTCCAATAATGAATAATGTAGTCTTCCAAAGTAGGAAGAGTCATACTTTCTGAAAAAGACAAGGATGCCAGGTGGTTTTGAGTACTATTGGTTGAAAATAATTTCTTGATTTGATTATTAGAATTTAATGACATATGGTAGCTTCTGTTAATTGAAAAACAGACAAAAATAATCCTACTTCCATTATGAAAAAATATTCTCTGGGCATTTATTTCTTTATATGCTAGTCAAAAGAATGTATGTTCTTGAGGGTGGTGTAAAAATGGGACTTGTTTTAATTCATCAGGCTAACTATTGTAGTTAAGTGATCCAGGTGACCATTTGGGCTATTAAAGATTAAATAGAAAATATTTTAGCTATTGTGTCTTTTTTAAAATTAAATGTTTATTTTTGCATTTTAAAGCACAAATGTATGTATTTGAAACACCAGTTTCTCTTAAATGCTTCATAGGTTCATGTTTGTAAACATTAACAACTGTTAATAAAGATTTTATGTAGTATGTAGATGACATGTAATTTAAGAAGTTTATTTTTGAAGTATATATTTTATACTTGAATTTTTTCTAGATAACTGTTGAAGGAAAAAATCAAGTTTTCAGTATCAAAAGCAGAACTCTTTTCTATGAGATTCTTTGTGCTCTTGTTAATCCAAAGCGCAAGGATACAAGAGGATTCATCCACTTTACAGAAGTGACTGAAGATTTTGCCTTTTCTCTGCTGACCAATGTTACCTGTGGCTCTCCTGGTGAAAAGTAAGTATCTTCTAATACATCAATAGTACCTTACATGCATTTCTTCACTGTTTACCAAGCAACATGTGATGCAAATTGACATTGACATGATGTAACTCAGAATTATTTGGCCAATGCATTGTACCTGTTTGGCAAATTAAGCGAATTGTTTGAAAAAAGCCTAACAGTTCCATGAAGAAAAATGAATGAGTACTGTTAGCAATATATTCTTATTATTTCAAAGTGTGTTTTAAAAGTTGTAAACAGCCATGTCTTCAACTTTTATGTATTCAGTGAATAGAAGATACACTCTGAATAGGACCATAAAAAGGAGAGCTGATTCTGAACTTTAGGAGTCTTTTTTATTAATATCTTTATTAATTTTATTTTCGTCTGATACTAAGGATTGAACCCAGTGCCTCACACATGAGAAGTGAGTGCTCTACCATTGAACTCTATAGCCCCAGCCCTAGGAGTGTTTTGATATGCTACTACTTGTGCTTCCAAAGACAGCTCTTATACTCTTTTGAACTTCAGGCTGGAGTGTCATGGCAAGAAGCTAGCCAGAGGAGAAGGAAAAAATAAAATACAGTGCATTTAGAGACCTAAAAAATGTTTTATTTTGTTTGACAATATAAAAGTGGCCGATAATAGAACATGCCTGGAAATTGAAATTCAACTTGATTTTCACAGAGGAAATAGGATCTAGAATTATATTTCAGAGAGATAGTAACAAAAACAGCATGGCATTGGCACCAAAACAGGCATGAAGACCAATGGAATAGAGCAGAAGACATAGAGACAAATCAAAGTAAATACAATTTTCTGATACTAAGATAAAGGTGCCAAAATATATGTTGGAAAAAAGATAGCCCTTTTAACAAACAATGATGGGCAAACTGGAAGTCCATATGTAGAAGAATGAAACTAGACTCTTACCTCTCACCCTGCACAAAAATTAACTCAAAGTATAACAAAGAACGAGGAATTAGACTAGAAACCCTGAACCTGCCAGAAGAAAATGACTTCCCTAACAGGACTCCTAAAGTGCAAGAAACAAACTAAAAATATCAATAAATGGGATGGTATCAAATTAAAAGGCTTCTGCTTCAAAGGGAAACAAGAGCATGAAGAAGGAGCTTACAGAATGGAGGAAGATCTTTTCTACCTGCTCCTCAGGGTGTTAATATCCAGAATATGCAAAGAACTCAAAACACTTAACACCAAAAAATCCAAATAACCCAATTAATAAATGGGCAAAAGAATTAAACAGATACTTTTCAAAAGAAGAAATACAAATGGTCAACAAATAAATGAAAAAAATGTTCAACATCTCTAGCAATTAAGGAAATGCAATCAAAACTACATTGAGATTTCATCTAATTCCAGTCAGAATGGCAATTATCCAGAAAAAATTATAAGTGTTGGTGAGGATGTGGGGGAAAAGGTACATTCATACATTGCTGGTGGGACTGCAAATTGGTGCAACCACTTTGGAAAACAGTGTGGCAATTCCTTGAACAACTAAGAATAGAACCACCATACGACCCAGCTTTCCCACCCCTCAGTATATGTCCAAAATATTTTAAATCAGCATACTATAGTAATGCGACATATTAATGTTTGTAGGAGCACAATTCATAGTAGTCAAACTAAGGAGCCAACTTAGATGACTTTCAATAGATGCATCAATAAAGAAAAGGTGGTATATATACACAATTGGGTGGTATATATATATATATAATTGTGTACATATACACAATACTCAGCCATAAAAAAGAATGACATCATGGTGTTTGCCGGTAAATGGATGGAACTGCAGTAAGACAGACTCAGAAAGTCAAGAGTTGAATGTTTTCTCTGATATGTGGAAGCTAATAGAAAATAAGGGATGAGGGATTTAAAAAAAAAGGAGAAAGAGAGAAAGGAGAGAAAAAGTAAGACAAATTTCATCAAAATATAGGAGACATCAGTAGAGTTGAGATTGAGAAGAGGATTTAAAAGGAGGAAGAGATGGGAAAAGAGAAGAACAGTGGAATGAGTATGACTGAGGTTTCTTATGAGCGTGCATGGATGTGGCATGGTGGTTCCTAGCACTGGGTGTATTCACAGGATGCTAATTTAAAAAAAAAAGTAAACTCTAAATGGATTGAAAAAGAATAGGTGGAGTAGAGGGAGCAGAGGTGGGGAGTTCTGGGGACTGAATTGGAGCAGGTTCTGTTCCATGCTTTTGTGATTATGTCAGGGTATATCCTGGTGTTGTATGTGACTGAAAAGAATAAAACAACAATAACCATTATTTAATGAGTGACATCTGCTTAAGACTAAGTTTATGTAAACCTTTTATCAATTTTATTATTTATTCTCAATGAATGCTGTCATCAGTGTTTATTACATTGAAATTTAGAGATACTCTGAAGACTACATTTAAAAACTCATATAATAATTTAAATCATCTCTTTATTTATAGGTCCCTTTATGAACTCTGGCAGGTTAACTAAAATACCAGTTGAATACCTAAAACTTTTAATG